GTGTGGGGGGGGGGGGGGAAGGGATGCTGAGGGACCATCCATACTTGTGCCTATTCCCTCCCCTCACCCGTCTGCCCCCCCCCGAGACACCTGACAGGGTGGAAAGCCACCTGGGTGGGTTCACAACGCATTGCCAAGCTGAATTCCAGACCCCCCCCCCGTGACTAAGGCTGACCAGAAAGACATCCTGGGAAGGAGGACCTTATTTATTTTAATTTGTTGATTTGCTTTCCTTCTCTCCCACTTTTCTTTCAGGGGCGGCCCAGATCTGACCTTTCAAAGTTCTTGCTTCTCCACCCCCACCCCCACCCCGCCGCAAATGCTCTCCCACTGCCAGTCCTCCTTACCGTCGGCCGTGTAGATGGTGAAGTAAAGGCCCCCACCGATGCCCATGCTGTGGGGGTTCATCAGGCCCACGCAGAGAAGAGCAGCGATGGCTGAGTCAACGGCAGAACCTCCTTTCTGAAGGATGTCCCTGTGGAGCAGGAGACAAGAAGGCGGGTGTGTGTGTCACAGCTGGACTGGAAGAGCAGCCGTCCTCCTCATTCCCCCCCTTCCTAGCCAGAGGGGGGGGGCTCCCCGTGATAGGGGCTTCCTTTCAGCACCTCCTCAGTGTCCAGACAGCAGCGGCCTAGGGTCAGACTATGCAGGAGTCAAGCTTCGCCATTAGAAGCCAATCTCCCTTAAGAGATAAAAGACATTCGCTCATCCTACCATGACTGTGTCTACAGTGCCTCAGGGTGTAAATTACAACTTGCTTTTATGGCCATTAAAGGTAAAGGTAAAGGTTCCCCTTGACAGTTTTTGTCCAATTGTTCAACTCTAGGGGGCGGTGCTCATCCCCGTTTCCAAGCCATAGAGCCAGAGTTTTGTCCGAAGACAATCTTCCGTGGTCACGTGGCCAGTGTGACTTAGACATGGAACGCTGTTACCTTCCCACCGAAGTGGTCCCTATTTATCTACTTGCATTTTGCATGCTTTCGAACTGCTAGGTTTACGGGAGATGGGACAAGCGATGGGCACTCATTCTGTCACGTGGATTCGATCTTGCAGCTGAAGATCTACAGACCTTACAGGACAGAGGCTTCTGCGGTGGGCTTCATTTGCAAAATGGTCAGTTTGAAGGAAGGGGTCTCTGGAATTGCAATGTTTTATCACTTCCTAATTGTGAAGATCCCCCTCATTCTCATCCTTTCCTTTTCAGCATGTTTTCAATGATTCTGTTCTGGGTGACAGTCCCTCCAAAACACAAGGGAGGGGGCAGAGCAAAGCTGGGGGAGGGTTGCTACTGCTTGGGGGGCAGACGGGGGAGCAGCCTCTCTTGGGGGGGCACAGAAAGGACACGGTGGGCTGCTGTGCTCTTGGCCAGGGTGGTGGAAGGGGGCGCCCATCTTACCTGCCGACGAGGGAACAGGGACCGGCGTCTGTGGCCACGGCCGCCTTGCTGTAGACCTCCGCCTTGTGGTGCTTGGGGGGAGGCTTAGGGCGCAGTCCAAAGAAAAGCCCGACAAAAACGACGATGGCCAGAAGGAGGACCGCCAGGACCCCAATCTTCACGGACTTCACCCTCATCATTCTGGGGAAAGACCACACCAGAGCTAACAGGCAGAGATGAGGCACGGAGCTGGGCCACCTTCAGCCACGGACCGTCCTCCTGGGATGTCGGAGGGGCTTCTCTGCCTAACCCAGAGGGCTTGGGTTGGCACAATGGTGGCCCATCCCCAACCCCTTGGAGGAGACCCCATTTGCGGGGGGGCTGTATCTGGGTCAGCTGGGGTTGCAACCGCAAGTGGCCCACTGGGGGGGAAGCTCCCTGGAGCTCAGCGTCCTCCCCCCCTAAGGCAGGCCCTCTTTCTCATTCCCTTTGCCCCAAGAGGGGAAC